AATCAATCATTCAATCAATCAATCAATCAATCAATCAATCAACGACAAAAAAAAAATACAAGAAAAAAAAACGCGCTGTTTTATTTATTTTTTTCAAATTCGTTCAATCACAGCCACCTCCCCCCCAAAAAAAGAAAAATTGTCTTCTTTTTTGTTTTCGTTTCTGTGAGGGGGTGGGGCTGGGGGTGCGCCACCCCATGGCACTTCCCTAACCTCCAACCCCCCTCCCCACTGGCCGCCATACGGGCGCAAAGTCGCGCGGCCGCGGGGGCACGTCCGCGGGGTCCCGGACCTGGCCGCGGCCGCGGACTTCGCTACGCTTGGCCGCCTCCGAGGGGTATTCGTAGTGGAAGGCTGCAGCTGCAGAACAGTGTACGCAGCTGCAGATGACCTGTGGAAACCACCCAGAGGCAAACGGCCAAGCAGAGCAGCTGAACCGCGTTGTAAAACACCTGTTGCGGCATTACATCAAGCCCAATCAGGTGGACTGGGATGAGAAACTTGCTCTCATCGCCAGCTTGTACAACAACACTGTGCACAGCGCCACTGGGGTCAGCTGAACCGCGTTGTACAACACCTGTTGCGGCATTACAGCAAGCCCAATCACGTGGACTGGAATGAGAAACTTGCTCTCATCTCCAGCTTGTACAACAACGCTGTGCACAGCGCCACTGGGGTGAGTCCTAACCGTCTACTGCTGACTTTGAAGCCTAGACTACCACTGGTTTTCCTATTACCTGAGAACCAGCCAACTGCTGCACCTGGCACACTAGAGTTCACCTATCGATAGGAACAACTAATGCAGCAGGAAGTTGAACGGATGCACAGGGCACAAGCGGCGATGATAGAGTCTGAGAATAAGCACCGCCGCCCATCTACATTCCAGGTAGGGGACAGAGTCTGGGTTAAGTCATCAGAACTGGGTCAGGAGCACATGATCTCCCGCAAGCTCATGCCACAGTACTTTGGACCCCGGGAGGTTCTAGATATCGTCGGAGATTACCGGATGGGCCTTCATATGTAGTTCAGATCCCTGGTCACCTTCGCACTTACCCAGTCTTTCACGCCTCCAAGCTAGCACCTTTCAAGGAGACTGACCAGTTTCCTTCTAAAAACATGGATGGAGAGGTCGACATCGATGATATTGTGGGTCACAAGGAAATGCCAGTTCCAAGACCTACAGGCAGGGGACCTCCTCTGAAACCGAAGTTGCAGTACCATGTTCAGTTCAGACATCACACTGATCCCAAGGATGATAGATGGTTTACACGGGAGAAACTGATGCAGACCGCTCCACAGGTTGTCGCCCACTATGAGAAGTATGGAGGAGGGAATGACCTAGCAATGATACGCCTTGGAAAGAAATTCAAAAACAATCCGAAGGAGAAAGCGCCAGACTGAATGAACTTCTCAGAGGACTAGCGAAGTATGGAGGAGGGAATGTGAGGCTCCAGGCCTCGATAAGCCCTACTGGGCCCTATTTCCTGTATAGTCGGCTGCCCTAAGTGAAGGCAGGCTCGACTAAGGCCTACAGGCCTATTTTGGGGTCAACACACAACTGGGGAAATTCAGGCAGTTGCGCAGCGCCAGTTGGTTGAAAGCGCCCAGGCCCTGGCTGCCTATTTCGAATGTAACTGAGGCAGGCCCTGGGCCAGATTGGCAACATAAACCGAACACAGACAGCGGGCAGTTGGACACAGGCAACCACCACAGGCCCCAAGCCTGAATCATTTGGACTGGGGCTCAGCCTCTCTGGGCCTACCGGAAGCTTCTGGGCAGGGGCCCAGCGCAGCCAGGCTGCACGCAAGGCAGGCAGGCCACTTCCATTTAGGAAAGGGCCTGCCCACGCATTTGGCATTCGGGCACTGGCTGCATGCCGTGCAAGCGCTGCTGCGCTAACGCTGGCCAGCGCTCAATCGCTTACGGGCGAGCTAGAAGGAGCAGGCAGCCATAGCCGAGTTGTGCCGCTGTATGCTGGATGGGGTGCATTGTGGTTCTTGGGTGCTTTTGGCATCTGTGAGCTGGGGATCGAGGTTGTGAGAGATACGAGCGACATACCTGGTGCTTGAGGCGAACAGCATTGGCCGAGATCTGCTCGTACTTCGGGGAGCTGTTGACGTCATCAGCGGCATCGTAGATAGGCGATATAGGATCTACCATTTGTAGTCTGGGCGTCGAGCGCCAAATAGGATATCGACATTGGTTCTTCGTTGATGATGATAAGACTATGCCAGCATTGTCAATTATGAGCTTTTGATGTGCTCTTATTTGGTGAAACTCCTGATGCAATTCTGCTATTGGTCCGAGGTCACAACTATCTGGACTCATGTGTATGATATTGTTTAATTTCTGTAGTTCGCTATCGCTCATTTTCCTTGCAATAGCTTAATTACCCAAAAAAAAAAAAAAAGCTCGAATCTTAATTAAAATTTTTCCCAAAATTTATTCGGAATGAACCTTAATTAGTTTGGAATTTGTGAAATTATTTCTTTCTGATATCTCAAACTTTTCACTTCTTTTTTGAAATTTCCTTTCCAAAATTCAAAAATACCTTTCATCAATTCTTTTTCAATTTTTTTTCACATACCTTAGAATTACAGCATTCTTCTTTTTTCAAAATTTCTTTCAAAATACTTTTAGTTCAATTCTTTTTCGCAATTTTTATAATCCAAAAATACTTCCAATCAATTAATTCTTTTTCAGCATTTGCTTTTTCGAAATTCGAAATACGTTTTCCTTTTCTCGTATATTTTAGAATTCATAAATTCCTTTTCAATTTTTTTCTTGAGATCAATTCTTTTGTAAAATTCTTTCTTGAAATTTGGGAATATTTTCGAATTACTTAGTTCCTTTCTCAAAATTTTCACGTTTTCTTGGAAAATCATACCCCAAAATTAATTTGAAATAAATTTAAACCCAAATAATTTTTTTTTTTTGAAACTAATTATTTCTTTTTCCCTTTTCCAATATTTTCAGTATTTATTTCTTCGAAAATTTCTGGAAACTTTCCTTTTGCTAGTTTCTCCTTCGGATTCTTTTTGAATTTCTTTCCAAGGGGTATTCTCGAATTAATTTCGAATAACTAATTCATTCGAAACGGAATTAATTTATTTTAATTCTTGTTTTGCAAATTTTATTTTTTGGAGATTATCGCAAGGAAGATGAGCAATAGCGAACTTCAGCAATCAAACAGCATCATACACATATGACCAGATAGTCGTGACCTCAAACCAAAAGCAGAATTGCATCACGAGTTTCACCAAATAAGAGTACACCAGAAGCTCATAATTGAAAACGCTGGAATAGTCTCATCATCATCATCAACGAAGAACCAATGTTGATATCCTATCTGGCGCTAGGCGCCCAAACTACAGATGGCAGATCCTATCTAGCCTAGACTACAATGCCGAAGATGACGACAACAGCTCTCCCGAAGTACGAGCAGATAGCGGCCAATGCCGCACGCTTCCAGCACCAGGTATGTCTCCCGCATCACTCACAACCAACACACAAATGCCACATGCACCGAAAGACCACCATGCGCCACACCCAGCCTACAGCCGCGCAGCTTGGCTATGGCTGCCTGCTCCTTCCAGCTCGCCCGTGAGCGTGTGAGTGCCAGACAGCTTCAGCGCAACAGCGCTTGCGCAGCATGCAACCAGCACCCGAATGCCCAAAGCGTGGGCTGGCCCTTTCCTATATGGAAATGGCCAGCCTGTGTGCGTGCAGCCTGGCTGTGCTGGGCCTCGGCCCAGAAGCTTCCGGTAGGCCCAGGGATGCTGAACCTCAGACCAAATGAATAGGCCCAGGGCCACCGACAGTTACTTGTGCCCAACTACCCACAGTCTGAGTTGGGCCTATGCTGCGAATCTTGTCCAGTGCCTAACTGAGATGCATTTGATAAAGGAGATCAGGGCTTGGGCGCTTCCAACCAACTGGCGTTGCGCAACTGCCTGCATTTTCTCCAGTTGCGAAGTAGTCCAAAATAGGCCTCTTAGGGTCCGTCGGGCCTTCCTTCACTTAGGGCGGCCGACGTTGTTGCAATTAGGGGCCCAGTAGGGCATATTGAGGCCTTTGCCTCGCATTCCCTCCTCCATACTTCGCCAGTCCTCTGAGAAGTCCAGTCTTCGATAATCTGGCGCTTGCCTTTCCGTACAGACTTCTCATAGTGAGCGACTACCTGTGGAGCGGTGTGGATCAGTTCCTCCCTTGTGAACCATTTGTCCTCCCTGGGGTTAGTGTGATGTCTGAACCGAACTCGGTACTGCAGCTTCGGTTTTGGAGGTCGTCCGCTGCCGGTTGGTCTTGGAACTAGCATCTCTCTCTGATCAACGATGTCGTTGATGTCGACCTCTCCATCCATGGTTGGGGGCAGCATAGAGCGACGAGAAGGAAACTGATCAGTTTCTTCAATGTTGCAAGCTTAGAAGCGTGAAAAACAGGGTAAGTACGTAAGTGACCAGGGATGCGAATAACATAAGAGGGCCCATCCGGTTCTTCCTCGACAACATCCTGAATCTCCCATGGTCCAAAGTATTGTGGCATGCGCTTGTGGGAGATCCCGTGCTCCTGTCCCAGTTCTGAGGACTTGACCTAGACTCTCTCTCCTACCTGAAACGTGGACAGGCAGCGGTGTTTGTTCTCAGACTCTATCATCGTCGTCTGTGCCTTGTGCATCTGTTCAACAGCCTGCTGCATTAATTGCTCATATCAATAAGCAAACTCTAAAGTCCCTGGTGCAGCAGAGGGTTGGTTCTCAGGTAGTAAGAAATCCATAGGCAGTCTAGGTCTAAAGGTTAATAGCAGACTATTCGAGCTCACGCCCGTTGTGCTCTGGACCGCGTTGTTGTACAGGCTGGCAATGAGAGCAAGTTTCTCATCCCAGTCTACCTGATTTGGCTTAATGCAATGCCTCAGCAGGTGTTGTACACCGCGGTTCAACTGTTCTGCTTGTCCATTTGCCTCGGGACGGTTTCCTGACGTCATCTGCAGCTGCGTTCCCTGTTCCGCAGCTGCGGCTTTCCACAGTTCACTTGTGAATCGCACATCACGATCACTGACTATAGACTTTGGCAATCCAAAATCTCTAATCCAGTTCTCTTTGCACATCTTAATCACATGCTCAATCTTCCCTGTCTCCGACATTAGCTCTAAGCTAGCGTACTTACTAAACCTATCCACGATAACAAAGATGTGTCTCATCCCGCTCTTGTTGGTGACCAGCGTATCCATGAAGCCCATGGACAGGCTTTCACCAAGCCTTTCAGGAATCGGAAGGGGCTTCAAAAGCCCAAGAGGAGCCTGTGTACTCGGCTTGTCTCTCTGTCAGATCTGACAAGTTTCCGCGTACAGCTTCGCATCTCTCATCATCGTGGGCCACCAGAACCGCTGCAGCAGATTGGCTGCAGTCTTTTTGAAACCAAAATGTCATGTGGCATCATGACACTCGCCTAAAAATAAACTACGCAAAGACTCCCTATCTGGCACACAGACGTTTATTCCCTGCCTCCTCAAGAACAGCAATCCGTTGACCATCTCAAACTCGGCAGAAGTTGCTTTGTCCTTCGCCTCTACTCTGCGTATGATCTCAGACATAAACTGGTCCTCGCGATAGGCTTCCACCATAGACTGAGTAACATTGTCCGCAAGCCCAAACTCGGTGATCAGCGCACCAGAGAAATCTGGTCTACGCGACAGCGCATCAGCAACCTTGTTGTCCTTGCCCTTTTGGGGCTCAAAGTCATACTGCTCTATGACTTCAATCCAACGCTTCAAAGCGTCAAAGAGCACAAGTTGGGTTCTCATCCACTTCAGAGTCTGGTGATCAGTCCTGACGTAGAAGAACCTCCCAAGGAGATAGTGTCTCCAATGGTTGAGCGCCTTGTAGATCGCATAGAGTTCCTTTTCATAGGTGGATTTAGCCACCTTCTGAGAGGGCATCTTTTTGGACATGTACTCTACTGGCCTCAACTTCTTCCCCTCTTGCTGCGCAAGTACGGCGCCTATGCCATATTGGCTAGCATCCGTAGTTACTACGGATGGCTTGTCAGGATCAGGAAGTTTCAAGACCTCATGATGCATCAACGCATGCTTCAGATGTCAAAAAGCAGGCTCGCATCTACCTGTCCACTCCCATGGGGTGTCAAGGCGAGTCAAGTCAGTCAAAGGGGCACCAACTATGCAATAGTTCTTCACGAAATTGCGATAGTAGCCGGTCATCCCTAAGAAAGACCTCATCTCAGTCACAGACTGAGGACGCGGCCAGTCACGAATGCTGGCCACCTTCGCGTCATCAGGCTTTAATCCCTCCGCAGAAATCTCATGACCCAAGTACAAGACACGGGTGCGGCCAAACTCGCTCTTCTCACCGTTGATCTTGAACTTGTGCTGTCCCAGAAGACTCTGGACTTTGTCCAAGTGCGCAACATGCTCCTCGATAGTCTTACTAAAAATAAGAATGTCATCAAGGTACATGATGACGAACTTATCCAAGTAGTCATGAAATATCCGATTCATAGCGTGTTGAAATGTGCCAGGAGCATTGCAAAGGCCGAAAGGCATCACCACAAACTCGTGCAGACCATACCTGGTCTGAAAAGCGGTTTTGTGTTGATCCTCGGGCCGGATTGCAATCTGATGGTACCCGGACTTCAGATCTACCTTACTGATGTACGGACACCCTTGCACTCTTCTAGCAAAACATCAATGCTCCGTAAGCGCTCTCTGTTCTTAATAGTGATGGCATTGAGGACCCTATAGTCCATGCACATCCTAAGCGTTCCTTCCTTCTTCTTGGCTACAAATAGGACTCGAGACCCATAAGGAGAAACACTCGGCCGGATCCAACCCTTTTCTACGAGTTCCTTGAGTTGTCGGCGAAGCTCATCAAGCTTGCCTGGAAACATCCGTTAGATCCTACCCTTCGGGATGCTAAACCCTGGGATAATCTCTATCGCGTGGACGACCTCCCTCTCAACAACCCCTGTCGGCTAGTCAAATAGATCAGGGTATTTAGCAACCACTCCCTCTATCTCCGGCGGCATTTTCACCGGCTCGCCTGCTGCAGAGACATAAACTAGATACATACCCTCCTCATGATTTTGCTTATAGTAATTATAGAACGCTGCCGCACACATGCATCCATGGGACTCGATCAAACTACTAGCTTTAAACTTATGTAATCTGGCGGTCCCTCCACCTGGCAAAGTGTGTTTGACCAGTTTTCGGTCCCAGTCAAACTGGGGTTGTGCCACAGAGAGGTAGTACATATCTAACAACATATCCATGGGGAGTTCATCGCTCACTAGGAACGACACTCGATATCTCAGTTCCCCTACCGCGTACGGGAAACAACACTCAACATCTTGGAGGTAGTCGTTGACTTCCATGCGTTGTTTGTTGGCACAGGTCAACTCCACAGGTCGACTCAGGCGCTGCACTTGCCCCTGTAAACGCAGCCTCTCAACGGACGCGCGACTAATGAAGTTCCTAGTCGAGCAAGTGTCATAATAGGCCCCGACCTTGCGCCCGCCAATGACCACCTCGCTGACGAACATCTCACCCTTAGGGGCTTTGACCAATGCCGTCCAAGAAGCTAGCAGGTCTGTTCTAGAATCACTCCTCCTCTACTTCCTCTAAGGACTCAAACACATTCATCGAAAAGAGGGTCGATGTGTCTGAACGTGTTTGCGGGACAACGATGGAGTCAGTACCTTGGGCCATCTCTCGAGATGGTGGGGGTGTGTCCACCACCTCGACCCTAGCAGGAACAACAACTATTCCTACTGTTCCCAAAGCAGTGCCAGAAGTGCTAGCCACATTGCTACCAACGGGAGCGGAGGATCCCAACGCCTGCCCCATTGTAGGCGGGATCTTTTCGGTTACCTTCTTATTTCAGCACTTGAATTGGTTATGGCCATATTGGCCACAACGGATACAAGCCTGCCTTGTATACCGATCTCTCCACACATCCTCAGTGAGACCTGCTTTCTCCCATGAAGGAGCATTGGGGTCAACTTGAGTCCTTGACCGGGAACCTCCTCGGCGTCTACCGGTCGCCTTTCCTTTTTGAGCTACGGAAGCGACTACTCTTCCTCCTGAAGCCTCTACGCTGCCTGCCTCTGAACCTACTCCCGCCTGGAACTCGTCGTCCAACTCGATGGTAAAACCATCGTTGTCGACGAACATGATGCGGCCCTTCGCCTTCCAGTTGGGAGGCAGTGACTTCTTCCTACCATCCGTCGTGGGGTTACGTCCATGCCCTATCTTTGCCTCAAGGTCTAGGGCCTTCTTACTGAACGAGGGAAAGTTGTGCATGTTGATGTTGAGCTCACCTGCCAACTGATTCCTAAGAGGCATGGGAAAGCATCTCAGGTAGGAGGTGAGTAAAACCTGGGGGTCATAGCGAACCCCAGGGACACAAATCGGGTGCTCTCCAGCGTAAGTGGCCTCCCTTACCAACTTGAATTGCCTCGTGTGCAGTGTCAGGATCGCGTCAGTGGCCTTTTGGGCCTCCTGACGATCATGCCACCTATCTTCCACCAACTTGAGGAAGTCATCCAGTTTCTGGGTGACTGCCCAAGAGCGGAAGTCATGACCATACCCCTGGAGCTGCACTAAGCCACTCAACCATCTTGTTGCACTCCCCTCTAGGTAGGATGCAGCCACAAGCACTTCCTCGTGCGGCAAGGTAAGTTTGCACTTGACATAGACCGGCACTGCCCTCAACCAAGTGTCGAGGTCTTCGCCCCTCTTATCCCCTGTAAAGGGTTTCGGAGTGGCGATGGCCGTCTTTAGTACCCACTGACTTTGTCCCGGTCCCTGCATCATTCCGGGCTGTGGACCCAGTGGTGCAGGCTGCTGCACTGACTGTTGGGGTTGTGTACCCTGCGACTGTGCAGGTTGTGAGACAGCAGGCTGCACGCTTACGACAACCTGCGACGGAAGTTGGGTGAACACTGTTTGTACAGGAACCTGTAAACTAGGACCTGCTGAGAACCCTCCTTATAATGGCATGTCCAGGGAAACGGTATGCGCCGATGTTGGGGTTGTATATGGGGATACCCCAGTCACCGGTGGGACAAACGGAGGAGGATGTACAACAGGGCAGGCACCGGACCCAGAAAGTGATGGTGACGCCTGCATTCACCCGACTAACACAGCTAGACTCTGTTGGATGTCCTGTAAGATCTCCATTTGATCTTGCGTTTCTACTACGCTCAACAAGACCGATCGTATCGTCCTCACGTCACCCTCCATCTCTGTAGTGTCCAACTCACTAACGTCTGCTTGCGTTCGTTGTATCCTAGCTCTTCTTCTTATCATTCTCTTTTTCTCAGCCTTAATCTTTCCCAAAGCCTGTTGTAGTTGTGCCGCGCAATCAGCAGCTCGCTGTATGGCGACCTCCTCGGGAGTCATCACTAACGGTTGGCTTGCCATAACGCCAGTGGACTGACTCACGGTTTGTGCGACCATTGACCCCACACAACCTGAACTACTAGCCAGAGAAATTTGTTGTGCGGCAGTGGGCATGGTTGCTGAAGTAGCCGCCTCACTTACGAGTGCCCTGCTAGCCTCTGCTGCTCTAGCTCTCCTCTGCTGCTGCTGCCTCTCTCTCCGCTGGCGAAACAAATATTTGTCGCCTTCTGGTTCTAATGCCAAGTGGGCACTTGGGCGTCTGGCCGATCGCAAGATCCGGTCGTCCTCTCTAGTGTCCTCCCTGTCGCTCATAGGCTACAACACTATACACCGCCTGCACTAGGACAATCAAGTTGCCTACCGTAGCATAATGTACAGACCAATTTAAAATAATTGGTGGTTGGGTCAGAGTAGATGAATTTGGGTTCAACAGGTAAGTTCGGATTCCTACAAATGATACTATTCCACTTTGACTAGTTCGCAAACAGAAAACACAATGAACAGAGTACAGTTCTAAACTATGCTGTCTGTCAGATGTCAATGGCAGTACATTTAACTTATCAAAATAAAAATAAGATCATTTGTTGGGTCTGTTTACAGCATGGGATCTTACTCAAACCTATCACCTGGAATCTACCCCTTCCCCCAATTCCCCTTGATTGTCACTTTACGCCAGCGTCCCTCAGCAATCCGATTTGGCGTGCATGACTAAAGGTGTGCACACGGCCCACCCCTGTGCCCCGAGTAGCTGCTGAGCTGGCCAGCCCTGCACTGTGTTTATCCTCGCCTGCAGCGAGCCTTACACCCATTGGCTGATCCAGAGGCAATTTAACGACCGCCCCCAAGTGTTTCCCCAACCGGTGTCTATTTATAGAGGCCCGATACTCGTCTCTCCCATAGGGCTGGCCTGCCCTTCAGTACCCCTTCTATGAGCGCAGCAAGCAAAAAAGGACAAAGCAGCAAAGCATGCGTACTCTACTCCCGGTGGATTGGCATGGTGACCGTGACCCAGTGCTCCGTCCAGGGCCCTTCAAAAAGCACCGCCCTCTCCTTCTAGATGCTCCACGAGAACAATGCCGACTCTCAAGGTTGAGCGCACACGACACCTCACATGAGAGGACTCTCAAGAAGGAACTCACAACCTCACGGTAAGAAGTGATGAAGAGGGCAGATAAGGTTAAGAGCAACGTACCTCATTATAGCTGCCCCCAACCACAGATATTCTCACCAGATGACCTAATGGCAATTGTGATGACCAGTCACTGCATCGGCACAACCAGCATTATCTCGCTGTTCCACCTCAACATCAATCAACCACCACATGGTTCTCATCACACTGCGAACACCCAATATAGACACCGTAGCCTTCCTGGCGATTCCCCTCTCCTCCTAGGTCGCCACACCTTGTCCTTGTCTACGCCCTCCTCACTACACACCACCTACGACCTCACTCACCAAGCAGACCGCATGTATGTACCGCATAGGCAGAAGACAAGCGCCAGATTAGCGCAACGTACCACAACTCTTACACCAAATTGCAAGGAAGATGAGCAATWGCGAACTTCAGCAATCAAACAGCATCATACACATAAGACCAGATAGTCGTGACCTCGAACCAAAAGCAGAATTGCATCACGAGTTTCACCAAATAAGAGCACCAGAAGCTCATAATTGACAATGTTGGAATAGTCTCATCATCATCATCATCAACGAAGAACCAATGTTGATATCCTATCTGGCGCTCGGCGCCCAGACTACGGATGGCAGATCCTATCCAACGTAGACTACAATGCCGAGGATGACGACAACAGCTCTCCTGAAATACGAGCAGATAGCGGCCAATGCCACACGCTTCCAGCACCAGGTATGTCTATCGCATCACTCACAACCTCGTTCCCCAACACACAAATGCCACATGCCCCCAAGGACCACCATGCGTCACACCCAGCCTACAGCAACGCAACTTGGCTATGGCTGCCTGCTCCTTCCAGCTCGCCCGTGAGCGCGTGAGTGCCAGCCAGCTTCAGCGCAGCAGCGCTTGCGCAGCATGCAACCAGCACCCGAATGCCCAAAGCGTGGGCTGGCCCTTTCCTATATGGAAATGGCCAGCCTGTGTGCGTGCAGCCTGGCTGTGTTGAGACTCGGCCCATAAGCTTCCGATAGGCCCACGGAGGCTGAGCCTCAGACCAAATGAATAGGCCCAGGGCCACCGACAGTTACTTGTGCCCAACTACCCACAGTCTGAGTTGGGCCAGGGCCTGACTCAGATGCATTTGAGAAAGGAGATCAGGGCCTAGGCGCTTCCAACCAACTGGCGCTGCGCAACTGCCTGCATTTTCTCCAGTTGCGAAGTAGTCCAAAATAGGCCTCTTAGGGTCCGTCGGGCCTGCCTTCACTTAGGGCGGCCGACGTTGTTGCAATTAGGGGCCCAGTAGGGCATATTGAGGCCTTCGCCTCGCATTAACTTCTTTGATAAATCAATTGATGTTATTCTACCCTTGAAAATAGGAACCCCTCCCGGGCATGACACGCAGAACCAGGAACTCTCAACACACAGTCGCCGACGCCGCCGCTGCTGCCACTGCTAACGCTGCTGCAGATGCCTCCACCTCATCTACTGCCACCACCTCAGCTGTCGCTGCCACCTCAGCCGTCACTACCACCGCTTCCTCCCCCACCATGACCCAGTCATCCAACATCGAGATGCCCTCCGTCAACACCCAGTTCGTTAACAGCCTCTGCTGCAAACTCATTGGCCAACAAGCTGCCGACGAAGAGGCCCCCGTTGACTCTTCCACCCTCGTCTCCCTCATGACCAACATGCAAGCCACCCTCGACTCCCTCCAAGCATCCCTCTCTGGCCTCTCCCAACTGATAACCGCCGTCGAACAACAACAGGCGTCCGCCGCCATCCAGATCGTAACCACCATCCTTTCCCCATCTTCCGCCTCCACATCCACCGCCCTCTCTGCTAACACATCATCCACACCCCCGCCTTCATCCACCACCACCTCCACCGCAATCACCCCACCGCACAAGACGACAACCCCCGTCGTCACCCAGTCATCAACCATTCTCCCCCAGTCAAAACCTATCATGACTTCATCCACTATTACTTCCACACCACAAGCCCTGCTCCCCGTTCTTCCAATACTTCCTCCGTTTGCCCTCCTCCTGACCAATCCCACCACCGATTTCACCCGGGTACCGTCCTCCTCACCCAAACTTGATTTCAACACCCTCGCCACCACAACAACTTTAACGGGCATCATTCATCTCTCCTTCCGATCAATGGACATCCCCCCCTCCACCGGCCTTACCCACGAGGACGTCTTCGTCTTCCTCGACAAACTCTACGACGGCTTCTCCCTCCACGATGTCCCTGTCACACACTGGTCCCTATTGCCAGCACCAGATTACAGGAAGGCGCCGCTCATTCCTGGTACACCGAACGTGCTAACCGCCAGCAAGCAAGTGTGGAACCCCCTTCCTTCCTCGAGTGGGCCAACCTCATCACTTGTACATTCCAACCACATAAAACGGTCGATGACTATTTTGAGCAACTCAGTCGCCTTCGACAGAACGGCCCAACCGACCGTTTTGTCCAATACATCCGTGTGTTGCGGCAACACATCCCCCTTGACTTCGTCAGCGATGCCACATTCATCTCCCGCTTCAAACGGGATTTCCCACCCCGTACAAGGACGCACTCACATCCGCCCCACCCCGCCCACGATTCTTTCATAACATCACCGACGAAACCTTTCTCTCTGCCGCCTCAGACGAGTTCTCCGCCCTCGACCCCGACACCCTCTCCAACCCACTAGACACCACATCGCTCTCGTCCAACAAACTCTCTGTCATCCACCACATGCGGATGGAAAAGAGAGGATGCACTAGCCGTCCCCCTATCAACACCCACCCAACCCATCTCACAAAACTCACGTCGCAGGAGTGAACCTATCTCCAAGCTATGGGTGGATGTTTCCAGTGCCGACAATTAGGACATCAACTGACAAGCTGTCCAAATACCAGACAGTTCACACACCAGGCACCCCGGTCCACGGCCCCCCAACCCGCCACTTCCGCATCCGCCACTTCCGACACCTCCTCCACTTAAACATTGTACCCATGATCACCACGAACCACCACTGGCATCGGGGACTAGTTTGTCTGCCATCCCATCGATGACGACCTCTATCCCACCAATGGCCCAATTGGCATCGACAATTCGTCTGCCAACCCCCTCCAAGGTGACACACTTCCCACAGGCTGATCCCCAAGCATCGCCTGACACCGCTCCCACTGGTACATGTTCCTCTACCCTTCTCCCGAATCCATCCTCCATCACCTTCTCTGATGTTGTGAGGAACAAGCCCAACATGATCGGCTTGTTAGATTCGGCACTGAACAACGTCGCCTTAACGCCATCATCTCCACCTCCTACTCATCCCACTTCCACCTCAAGTTTATCGCCGCCACCCTTGGTGTGTCTACAACCAAGTTTCGGGCCCTCCTTGACATTGGAGCTACCGTTACCTTTATCACTGGAGCATATGTCTCAAAAGCCGGTCTCATGTCTACCGGTTACGACTCCCCGATTACCATTCGTTTAGGGGACAAAGACACCGCTGTCGTAGTAGATCGCACGGTTCCCGAGACCACCATGACTGTTGGAACCCTCCGGAGTCAGGACTCATTTGATGTCATTCACTTGATGTGCGACATCGTTTTGGGAACACCTTGGCTGGACCACTACATGCCATACGCGTTCCACCCCAACTTCGTTCGCCTCACCACCCCTCGACACGCCCATCGACATCCCCTATTTCCCCCACCCTACCTCCCAAAACTCTGTCACTCCCCACCAGTTTCTCCACATGGCCCGTCACAACGCCAACTCCACCTACTACTACTACCTTTTTCAAGGAGTTCATTGAGTTGGCGCTTCATTTCTTCGGCTTCCGGGACGAAGAGTTAGTATGGACGGCGGCACGGCGAAGGGTGGCCGGATTCCAGATCAATGGTATAAGATACACCACGATCCGGGGGTAATCCGACAGGCATGGACTCAGGAAAAACGTCTTTGAACTCGTTGAGGATAGAGGTGAGGGCGGGATCGAAGGGCGGAGCTTGATCGGTTTTGTTCGTAGGCTCCCCCCTTCGATCCCGCCCGCACCTCCATCCTCAACGAGTTCAAAGACGTTTTTCCTGAGTCCTTGCTTGTCAGATTACCCCCGGATCGTGGTGTATCTTATACCATTTACCTGGAATCCGGCCACTCCTCGCCGTGTCGTCGTCCATACGAACTCTCCATCCCGGAAGTCGAAGAAATGAAGCGCCAACTCAATGAACTCCTTGAAAAAGGATTCACTAAGCCAAGCTCCTCCCCCTTCGGTACAAGCTGCCTTTCGTAAAGAAAGGCGGAACCTCCGAACTAAGGATGTGCACAGACTACCACGCCTTGAATCGGATCACGATCAAGAACAAGTACCACCTACCTCGGATCTCAAAGCTTCTTGATCGCCTCCGTGGAGCCAAATATTCTACCAAGATTGACCTCCGCAGTGGCTTCCACCAGATCCGCATCCGCGAGAAGGACATCCACAAGACCGCATTCCGCTCTCGCTTCGGGCACTACGAGTTCCTCGTGATGCCTTTCAGACTCACCAACGCCCCCGCCACATTCCAATCCACCATGAATCACATCTCCCGGGACCTCCTTGAAGTCTGTGTCGTCGTCTACCTTGATGATATCCTTGTCTACAGCCCCACCTTTGAGTCCCACCTTCAGCACCTTCGCCAAGTCCTCTCTATCCTCAGAGAGTAAAAATTATACGCCAAGCGCAGGAAATGCACCTTTGTTGCCGCAAGAATAGAATACCTTGGCCATATCGTCTCTACTGAAGGTATCCGCATAGACCCGTTGAAGGTCACCGCCCTCATTGAGTAACCCCCTCCCAAAACCCTACTCCAACTCTGCTCAATCCTCGACCTTGCCAGCTATTACCGGCCCTTCATCCGCAACTTCCCCGACATCTCTTACCCACTCCACGAACTCACACGCAAGGACGAGCCCTTCAATTGGAACGACCGCCGTTAAAATGACTTCGATTTCCTCAAACAAACCATCACTACGGCCCCCGTCCTCAAGATCACAGACCCCTCTCGACATTTCTGCGTTACCACTGATGCATCCGACTTCACCATTGACGTCATCCTCTCGCAACATTCCTCGCGACACTTTTGAACCCCCCTCCATCAAAGACTCCCCCACCCACCCCGAGGCTCCACCCGACGAATACCCCATTGCCTTCGCAAGCAAGAAACTCCTTCCCGCAGAGATGAACTACCCCTCCAACGAGAAGGAACTCCTCGTCGTAATCCACGCCCTCGAAGTCTGGCACCCGTACCTTGACGGGCAATACTTCATCATTCGCACCGACAACACCATAGTCTCCTCCATTCTCACCAAGAAAGACATCACGCCCCGCCCAGCCCGTTGGTTAGACCTTCTTGCCCAATTCACATTTACCATTTGCCACACTCCCGACAAAAGCAACCGCGTTGCCGATGCCATCTCGCAACGCCCCGACCACAATCCCCCCGAGAAAGTCTGCGCCTCCATGACCCACATTAAACTGCCCGTTGATTATACCTTCTTGCCCAATTCACATTTACCATTTGCCACACTCCCGGCAAAAGCAACCGCGTTGTCGATGCCCTCTCCCGACGCCTCAACCACAAGCCCCCCGAGAAAGTCTACTTCTCCATGACCCACATAAAACTCCTCCCATCGCTCCATCACCATATACACAAGGCTATCTCTCATGCCCCGACTTCTCAACCGTCCATAACAAGCTTCGTTACCTCGACCCTGTCCCCGACTACTCCCTCTGCGACAATCTTCTCTACATCGACACCAAAGGCACTTGCCAACTTTGCATCCCCGTCGCACGCGGTCTCCGTACCCAGCTCTTGGCAGTGCGAGACATCTCGGGTTCCAGAAAACCTTTGACACCATCTCCCGCAACTTCCACTGCCCTTCCCTACTCGCCAACATCAAAGCTTGCATTTGCTCATGCCCCACATGCTAAGTCGTCAACCCTTAAAACCAGGTCAAACCCGACAAGTGACGGTCATTGCCTATTCCCACTCACCGGTAGCAGTCCATCTCTATGGACTCCGTGCGCGGTCTACCCAAGACCGACCATGGCCATGACTGCATCTATGTCATCATCTGTCGCTGGACTAAAGACGCACAGTTCATCCCTTGCACTACTTCGCAGAACGCCAAAAACGTCGCCACTCTCTTCTTTAATCATGTCGCACACCATTACAGCCTCCCCGAGAACATCATCGGTGACTATGATCCCCGCTTCCTCTCACAATTCTGGAAACTCCTCTTCAAAGCATATGGAACCACGCTCAAGTATAGCACTACATTCTACCCCCAGACTCATGGACAAACCGAGAAGATGAACAATACTCTCCAAAGAGTCCTGCGGCAGTATTGTCATCCACACCAACACGACATGGACCAGTTGCTCACAGCCGCCGAGATCGCCTACAACAACGTTGTTTGTCCCTCCACTAACATGTCCGCATTCTACCTCGACCTTGGCTACCATCCTCGCTTGCCCTCTGACTTTTTGCTTCCTTCGCAACTTAACCCCTCCACCCCCTGCCCTTCTCTCAATGAGTGGGTATCAACAATGAACAGACTCCTCCGAGAAGCCACCGAAGCCCTTGAAGGAACACAAGAACAACAAGCCAACAAGACCAACAAACACAAACGTAATGTAACATTCAAAGTAGGGGACAAAGTTTGGCTCTCCGCCAAACGCTTTGAACCCGAACACAGCTTGTCCAAGAAACTCTCGAACAAGTGGCTCGGACCCTTCCCCATCATTGAACAAACCTCCCCCGTCAACTACGAACTCCAACTCCCCCCTGACATGAGTCGTGTCCACCCTGTCTTCAACGTAGAATACCTAAAGAGTACCATGAATCCCCAACCCCATTTCGCTGACCGCCCAGATCCTAGACCTCCACCAATCATGTTACCCACGAGCCTTGAATTCGTCGTCGAAGCCATCATAGGACGAAGAACTACTCGGGTATCTGACTTCCCTGAACCAATCACATTATACTAGATGACATGTTGCGGCTTCGCTCGTAAAAGCAAATGCGTCAGGTGATGCACGGCGGGGGGAGGCAACCGACCGATGGAAACTCTCTCTCTCTCTCTCTCTCTCTCTCTCTCTCTCTCTCTCTCTCTCTCTCTCTCTCTCT